GAATTTGAGTTGTTATAATTGTGGGAGACAGGGTCATATGGTGAGAGATTGTCGGGAAAGTAAATGTTTTGAATGTGGAAAATTTGGACATATAGTCCCATATTGTCCGGGAAAACGAGAGAAATTGCGTTGCGCTGGTTGCGGAAGATTTGGACACAATAAAGAAGAGTGTAATACTGGAAATTTTGACACAAAAGGGGGTTTTCCACCGAGAGGAATGGGTCAAAATACTACAAACGTGCGGACTATTGGAGTGAGAAAATTGCAAAGATTATGGTGCCTAATATAGAAGAAACCAAAGAGCAGAAAATGGAGTGCTTTAGATGCCGGAAAATGGGACATGTGGCGAGAGAATGCGGAAATTTGTGACTATATGATGGCAATAAAAATACACGGGTCAGGCCGAGGAGGTTAGAGGAGATACGCAAAGGGTCATCTCATGGAAAAATAAAATTAATGGGATATATAAATATGATACAAGAGAATATGGTTCATGATCCTTGTCCTAGAGTAATGATAAATTTTAATGGGAGCCTGGTACCAATGTTATTTGACACGGGAGCGGCTATTTTGGTCATTGGATACGATAAATATAGAAGTATTTGGCCTGATGAGATGATCGTAAATGAAAGATTGAGAATACGGCAATTCGATGGGTCACCAGTGTCTGTAATGGGGAGAGTTGAAATAGAAGCGGCATTAGGAGAAAGAGTGGAGATAATAGATTTATGGATTATAAATCGGGGGGTTGAGGAGGTGATGGGTTGGGACTGGATCACCCGAATAGGGCCATGGTATAGTTTTTGGGGAGTATTTGCATGGTGGGGAGTGTTTGTACCCTTGACTAGACAAGATGTGTATGGTAACGTATCAGAGGAATACGGAGAAGCGTTATCGGAATTCGAGGCAGCGTTTAGTAGGAATAGGGAGGGGAGAGAGCGGGGAAATATCATAGAGCTAAGGGAAGAAGCTGCGAATGAGATGAGAATATTTGTAGGAGATGAGAGAATAAGAGAAGTGAATTCTAAGGGGATATAGGGACGCATGTTTCTAAGAGGAAAATAGGGGAAAATGAATCTATGAGAGAAATATGGGGAAGTAATCGGGGGGACTCATTGGGGAGTAATCGGGGGGACTCATTGGGGAGTAAACGGGGGGACTCATTGGCGAGTAAACGGGGGAACTCATTGGCGAGTATTAAGAAAGAGAAGGGAACGGTTAGGGGGAAAGTAGGGAAAAATGTTAGGAGAGATTACGATGTGAATTCTTTAAAGGAAATAGGGTTGCCAGAGGAATGGACAGTGGAGATTGAGGAAATGCAATGTAAAGGTGGAGGAAACGCGGATATTCGAGGAGTGGAGACGGAAATGAATCTGGATAGCGACGCGGAATGGCGGAATAAAGAGATGGAATTAGGAATGCGCAAAGTGCAAGAGGGAGTACGTAAATTGGTGGATAATTATCAAGAAATTTTTGATGAAGAATTGGGATGTTTGAGAGACTATGAAGTTAATATTAAAATGAAGGAGGGCTGTGTGCCGAAATTTTGTGGATTGCGACGAGTACCATTCGAATGGCGAAGAGAAGTGGAAATAGAATTGGATCAGTGGGTAAAGAAAGGGATTGTGTGTCCCGTGGAATATAGTGAGTGGGCAACACCGTTGGTGCCGGTGAAGAAGGCCAACGGGAAGCTCCGTTTGTGCGCGGATTTCCGGGTCACGCTAAACCCGTGGGTTGTGGAAGTGAAATATCCTTTGCCACGTATTGAAGAGATATTGGCCAGTCTAAAGGGAAGCGTATATTTTTCAAAGGTGGATTTTTCGAACGCCTATTTACAATTGCGGGTGAGACCAGAGGTGCAGAATCTATTGACTATTACTACGCCGAGGGAATTATACGCCTTTTGTAGGTTACCTTTTGGACTAAGCGTTTCGGCACCAATTTTTCAACGGACGATGGCAGCAGTGTTCCAGGGCTTAGAATGGGTTTTCTATTATATGGATGATGTATTGGTGACGGGAAAAACTCCTGAACAACATGAAAATAGGTTGGAGGAGGTCTTTAGAAGAATTAAAGAGAAGGGGTTGCAAGCGCTGAAAAGAGTGTCTTAGGCGTGTCGGAAGTCATATATCTGGGGCATAAAATCACGGGAATGGAGGTGAGACCATTGGATAAAAACATGACTGGGATTACGAGTATGCTAAGGCCAAGTAATAAAGGGGAGGTGCAGGCTTTTCTCGGAATGGTAAATTATTATCACCGATTTGTTGAGGGTTTCGCACAAATAGCGGCGCCGTTGTATAAATTGTTAAAGAAAGGAGAAAGATTTGTTTGGAAGAATGAACAGGAGGAGGCGTTTGAGGAGTTAAAATCTAGGATCGGGAGAGAGCCAGTTTTAATGTGTTTCAACAATGATCTGGAGGTGATGTTAGCCGTAGACGCGTCCAATAGAGGTGTAGGAAGAGCGTTATTGCATTTCGTAGACGGCCTGGAGAGACCTGTGTTATTTTTCTCGAGAATTTTTAGAGCGGCGGAGACCAGATATTCGGTTATTATAAAAGAAGCGTTAGCCGTCATTTTTGGACTCACAAAATGCCGAGAATATTTAATAGGGCGCAGATTTATAGTATACACGGATCACAAACCGCTGGTGCATCTGTTTCGGAAGGATAACAAGGAGCTGATGCTATCGCCTAGACTGCAGAGATGGCTATTAATGGTAGGCAGTTTTGATGTCCAGTTGAGATATCGGCGAGGAAAAGAGAATTACTTACCGGATATTCTTTCTAGGTGTGGAGCGGGAGAAGATTGTGAAGAGAGTGGGTCTAAAGATATGGAGGAAGAGGATGAACACGGACTAATTAGGATGATAGTAGGAATATCTAGAGGGGGGCCGGTTACATGGGAACAACTCAGAAAGGCCACGTTAAAAGATCGCGAGTTGACGCGGATTAAAGCGTATATACAGGGTCAAAAGCAGTGGCGGGATGGAGATAAAAAATATAAACATGTAGAGAAAGAGTTGGCGATAGTAGACGAGTGCGTGGTACGAGGAAATAGAGGAGTCGTGCCATACAAATTAAGGGAGGAGGTAAAGGCCATGATTCATGCGGGACATTAAGGAGTTGAAAAGATGAAGCAGTGGGGTCGTGAATATGTGTGGTGGCCTGGGATGAATAAAGAGATTGAAGATATGAGCCGGAGTTGTTTGATGTGTAATGCATGGGCGAGTATGCCGCATAAAGACAAGAAAAGTGCATGGCCGAGGGCTACACAGCCATGGGAGCGCATACACGTTGATTTCTTTGACTTTGAAGCCAAAATGTATATACTCGTGGTGGATGCATATTCCAAATGGGTAGAGTACGAAGAAGTGAGGGGATTAACAACTCAGGTGGTGATAAAGACGTTAAAAAATCTTTGGGCTCGGTTCGGAGTGGCGAAGATAATAGTATCGGATGGAGGTCCAGCCTTTATAAGTGGACAGTTCAGGTTGTTTTGTGTTCAAACCGGGGCGAGACACATTTTGGCGCCGCCACCCAAGTTCGAATGGTCAGGCAGAGAGGATGGTGGCGGTTGTCAAAAACTGGTTACGAAAATCAAAATATGGAGGAGGGGAAATTTGGATAGCAGTAGCATATTACAACAACAGTCGAAAGGGAGAAGAACAATCTCCGGCAGAGAAGTTTTTAGGGAGGCGAACTCGGATATTATTGGATTTGTTAAAGCAGAAACCAAGTCAAGAAGTGGAAGGGGAGATAAATGAGACAGCGGAATTTGTAGAGGGACAGACCGTGTGGGCTAGAATATATGGCGGTACAAAAAAGTGGGAATCTGGGGTGATCATGGAAAACATTGGACACAAACTAAATCGAGTGAAGTTTACCGACGGAGGAGAGGGAATTAGGCATAAGGATCAACTAAAAAGGGGCGTGGAGCCGGGGAGATTACGCTCGGGAGTATGAGTAGGAGAAGTATATTATCCAAAATAAAAAAAATATATATACGTGGTTTAATGAAACGAAACGTTCCCCCCCCCCAATATCCCAAGTTAACAAAAGGAAGTATCAAGATTTATTGGAAACGAAATAATTTCTTTTAAAAAAAAAAAACTCTTATAGTTTTGGAGAATATGTATCATGATATAGCACCCAAAATAAATAACATAGGGATACTTAATATATATATATATCCGCGGATGCGATTATCTTAATATAACGCCTGATGTATCGTTTAAAAGAACTACGATAATATTGTGCTCAATATATGAGAGGGAAATTATATTTTAATATAACGCTCGTTATACGAGAGGGTAGAGATAACGCCGGTTATGATGTATTGGGAGAGAAAATAGGGACCAATTTACAAATTAGTTCGTCGAAAGGAGTTATGGGAGCAGGTGGAAAAATTAAAATTGGGGAATCGAAATATGTAAAGAAATAAAAAAAAACACAAAAGAAAAAAAAAATGATAAACATAACGGAGAAAGTATAAATTGCTAAAGTTGATTAATTACGTTTGAAATAAAAGAAAATTGTAGAGTAATTAAAAATTGGAAATGTTATATCGTTCAGATCGTAAATTAAAATTATTCGTAGTATGTCAAAGATTTGGGAAGAATATGCAATTTGGGAATGTCATGGCCAAGTAATAAAATCAAGAAGATGTCATGTATGTTTTGATCGTAAATTAAAATCATCCACAGTATATCGAAGATTTGGGGAAAATATGCAATTGGCAATGTCATTGCCAAGTAATAAAAAAAAAATCGAGTAGATGAGTTGAATGAAATTCGAAAAAAAAAAAATGTATAAAAGTTAGAAAATCTTTTAAGTTTCATTTAAAGAAATTTTTGGGTTATTAAACGTAAAAAAAAAAAAACTTTCAGAAGAATTTATTTAAAAAAAAAAAAAGAAAAGAAAATTTTTGTAATAAAAAAAGAAGGAGATATTTTGTTAAACATATTAGATTTTAAAAAAAAAAATTCTTTTTAATTAAACTTTTGACAAAGTAATCAGTCTGCTGAATGGCCATGCATAAATCTTGGTTTTTTGGTGGGATCGAGGTGAGACTTAGTATTATTCCAAGAAGAGCGAGGAACGAGCTCCCAATACCCAGGGTCCCCTTTCAACCGATGTCACCCAGTGGTTATGACAATAGGGTCTGTTTCCAATGCCGCGCGCGGGGACATGTACGGAGCCGATGTCCTCTCCGATGGGAGAACCCTATGACAAATAATCGATCCAGGGAAAGATCGCCCATAAGGTTTGTCTCGGCAGTCCGACCAGTGGCGGAAGTGAGATCCGTTTATTACGATGGAAGATCCACATCTCCATCATCCACTTCAATACCAAGGGAAGCCGGCCGATGGCCTCTAGTCGATCTTTCAGCGACTACGGAAGGGGAGGGAGCTAGCCTAGGGGAGAACAATTGGAATAATGATACGCCCGTGGGACGTGAAGAGATCCTGGATTCAAACGCTAACAATATTGAGGGAACCGGGGAATCGACGCCCCCACTATCCATAGGTGAGGAATTGGAGGAATGGCTGGATTTGGTGTTTTCAGATGAGGAATTGCGGGATTTATTGGATGAGCCCGACGATGATTTGGGATTTTAAAGAGGGTGGAGCTGTTGTAAGTGTGAATAAAATTGATGAAATGATATTTTTTTTAAAAATTGTGACTACTCCGGAGATAAGTAATGATATTGGTTGTTATATGAGTAAAAAGGAAATATTAATAATAAATGCTTATTTTTTTTCGTATATTTCAAAAATATAAAAAAACCAAACAAAATAAATTTAAAAAAAACAAACAATAATAATAATACCGGTATATAAAGACAAGAAAAAAGAAAAAGCAATATACACGCGTATTTTTATTTTATATTTTAATATATTATTGTGCTTTAAAAAAAATTGGAAATTTTTATATTTCTTTTTGCCCGATCTATACTAATTTGTATTTGAAAATAGTTGTAAGAAAATTATTATTAATAAATAAATTATTTAGTCTTTAAATTTTGTGTCGTTTTACCTAAGTCCTCATAAGTGAGGCAGTTGAATATATAAAAAAAAAGGAATACCTAAGTCCTCTTAAGTGAGGCAGTTGAATATAAAAAAAAGGATACCTAAGTCCTCTTAAATGAGGCAGTTGAATATATATAAAAAAAAAGGATACCTAAGTCCTCTTAAGTGAGGCAGTTGAATATTAAAAAAAAGGATACCTAAGTCCTCTTAATTGAGGCAGTTGAATATAAAAAAAAGGGGGATACCTAAGTCCTCTTAAGTGAGCAGTTGAATTAAAAAAAAAGAATACCTAGGTCCTCTTAAGTGAGGCAGTTGAATATATAAAAAAAATACCTAAGTCCTCTTAAGTGAGGCGGTTGAATATTAAAAGGGGATTACCAAAGTTTCCTATCAATAAGCGATTTTCACAATATGCCCGTTTTTTGTGAGATTTTCACAAGTTATAGTAAGCTCTGTCGCACATAAGTACTGCCGAACTTTTTTTTTACAGAAATTATTATAAAAAAATTTGCGGATGAAGAGAAAGATATATTTTGAGATCGACTGATAGAAATGATATCAGGTCTGTCAAATGCGGAGGCGATTATGATCGGCGGCGACTTAAATGGATATATTGGAGAACATGCTGAAGAATATGAAGAACATGGAAGCTGTATTAAACGTTGAAGGATATAGGATATTAAATTTTGGTGATGCCATGAAGATGGTGGTATGTGACACACTCTTCAAGAAAGATAAAAAGAAATTGGTGACTAATAAGTCCAGTGATGCAAAAACTACATTGGAATATTTAATAGTAAGAAGAAAATGAGAATGTATTAGCAGGAGGGGAGTGTCACAAAACATCGCTTATTAACAAAGAAGATATGTGTCAAGGCTTAAAGTTTGGAATCTAGAAGAGAAAAGAACTATAAGTGAATTTATAAGAATCTTAGCCGAGACAAACTATACCGATGCATCTGATGTGAAAAAAGTGGGAAGCAATAGACATGGCTGAAAACCACGAAAGAGGTTTGCAGTTGGGCAAAAAAAACACCTACAAAACAGAAGGAGGCCTGGTGCTGGAATTCGGATATGGCGCAAAGACGGAGGGCGATAAGGAGGCGTACAAAGTGGCAAAAAGGGATGCCAAGAGAATGGTTGAGAAGAGATAGGAATTAAAAAGGCGTTAATTCGCTTATGAGCTGGAAACTGAGGATGGAAAGAAAAATATGATCTGGATTGATGAAAGAGAGACAGGATATAAAGGTAGTTAAATGTATGAGGAATGCAGTTGAAAATGTTGTTGTTGAAAACAAAGAGAGGAGATGAGGAAGAATTTTATGGGAAAATTATTAAACGAATAAGATGAGTGGGATAAAAATGTGCGATGTGATAAAGTTGAAGGTTCTACTTGTAGGTTCTGGAAGGAAGAAGTTAGGAAAGCGGTTATGGAGTGTGAAAAAGTAGGAAAGATTTTTTATTTGGAAGACACGCTGAACGCGGGAGGCTTGAATCTTCTGTTATTCTAAGCATAAGATATGCTTGGACGAAGTTTCGAGATATATCGTCTATTTTAGCAGTTAAGAACGTATCTCTGAAGCTGAATGTAAAAGATGTAAGCTGCGTGAGAATCTGTATAGTCTACGGTGGCAAAATGTGGGTAATGAAAGCGACGTATAGCTAAATCGGAAAGAACGAGATTATAATGGTCAGATGGATGTGTGAGGTATTTATGCGAGAGATAAAAACAAGCAATGAATTGCGGGAAAGAATTGGCATATGATAAGAAGAAATAGACCTGTGATTTGAGCACTTTAAACGAAAGACGCAAGATGATTGAGTTAAGAGATGCACTTCGTTGGAAGTAATGGGATCAACAACTAGAGAAAGACCAACGAAGAACGAAGACGTAGATGAAAGTGATAACGGGCGACATGGAAACAATTGGTCTTACAAATATCGACGCCCATGATGGTAAAAAACGAAGAAAAGGGATTAGAGGGGAAATTGGTCTTCCCGGGTAAACCTAGAAACCGCCAATAAACGATGAACACGATTTATATAATAAAATAAATCTTTTTATTTGAACAGAATGAATAATCTTGATATTATAACATTAAATTTCAAATTAATTTAAATAAGGTCAGATTGAAACATCTTAAATTTAAACAATAAAATAATCTTTATATGAATTTTTTATAAAGAAAAATAATTTCAGGATTAACATAGTAGAGGTCAGACCAAACAGTGAAAAGTTTTGACCAGGGCTTCTGGCCCGTCCCGTAATAATAATTTTTATGAAGGTAAAACACAAATTTCCTAATTTCAAGCTCTAAAAAAATTTGCCAACTCGGTCCTGTAAAAATATTTTTCACATGTTGCAGCTAGGCCAAATCATTTGGCCCGGGACGGCCATGTCGACCTCTACAATGCAGTATATAAAATAACTAAATTTAGCAATTCAAATTTATAAGCGAAATATAGTAAAATGTGATATAAATAATAACTTTCATTCAAAAAATGTTAACTATTAATTGATAAATTTTTTATATAAACTTTAATTATTTGCAATTTTTCCGGATGGAGGAAGGATAGCACATGCCCGTTAGGCTGTAATTTTATTAATGATATCGATTAAAATGAAGTTCAAATGATGCCTCGCCTCAGAGAAGATAAATGCGTACATCATAGAATAATCTAAACGGGGTCTCAGGATTGGCGGGGAGAGGAGGGGTGGTAGAGGACACTGTACTATATAATGCCGTCAATTGTTGGTTGTATAAAGTAAAAGTATAATTTAGATAAAACTTAATAATAACAAGAGGATCTAAGCATCCAGCATCGCATGCGTAAAGAGTAATCTGTTCTTCAATAGGTTCGGTGTTTATATATAATAAAGCTCTATTGTCATCCCCGATATCTACACGGATCGTCAAAAAACTATTTTCTTTTTAAAATTAAATACATTATAAATATTTCTTATTTCCATATTAAACAATTATAGAACATGAAGAGTTTTATTTAAAAAATTGAAAAAATCATGAAAAAAATTTTTCATTTTTTTTAAACCAGTTATGTCGCTGGAATTAGGATGTATACATTTAAAAACATTAATAGTATCTATATTTATTTATTATTCATAATTGATTTATGGAAATTCATAAAATTAAAATAAAAGAAATTATGTTTTTTTCTCTTAAATTTATGAAGGTTATTATAATTATTTTGAGTAACAACCATTAGTAGGTTAAATTTTAATATCGCCAATACTGATAGATACCGTCAATATCGGCTCGATTTTGATATAAAATATCGGTGCATCCCTGATTTTTTGAATATTATGTCGTTGTGGTTTAGCAAATTTTTAAACTAAAATCATATATTTGAACTCAATTATACTGTAATCATATTCCAGTATATAAAGACCACCTACCTCGTGAATTTCAGAAAATTTTGCATAAACTTTTAAACTATTCTTAATTTTTCATATGAATTAAAAAATACATAAAATTTAATGGTTAAATAGTCTGAAATTCACAGTGTATACACTTACAAACTGCAATAAGATTTCGAGAAAATGAAGTATTTCATATTTTAAAAAACATGAGTTACCCATGATTTTAAAAATTTGACTTAAACTGGGGTTAATTGAAGTTGCGTTATAAGTTTTTCAGGAATAACGACTGATCTGAAATTATGACGTGAGGATTCGAAATCTCTCAATTTTAAATCAACTAAGAGAGCGATTTTCAAAGTTGAAAAATCTGATTTTATAGATTGCAAGCATGTATAAGGTATTAATTCACCATGAGAGTATTTTTAATTTATATAAAAAATTAATAGTTCAAAAGTTGATGGCAAAATTAATTTGAAATTAATAGGTAGGTATTCTACACATGCTGAAATAATTTCCGGTAAAAAAATTTTTTTTATTTGCCCTTGTAAAAAAATTGAGAGATACAAAATCTTCATATTTTCTGAATACGACATTATACATAATTTTAAATAAAATAAAAGCATTTTATAGTGGAGAATCATGTTTACAATATCTTCAAACTAATTATAGATGGTTAAATATTCATTATCTAATGCTACGTTTATAGTCTATATGGCTTTATTAGCTTGAAAACCGAGAAAAACGCTTACCTGAAAGCATTTTTTTAATATAAAACTATGGAAATATGACTTATATTAATACTCTTAACATTGTTTATAACAATACATTTTATCATTGTCCTTTCTCGGTTTGACTGCTTTTAATTTTAAAACCCGATATGTAGTAATAATTTTCGGTTTGACTGCTTTTAATTTTAAAACCCGATATGTAGTAATAATTTTTGCAAAAACACACTTGTCTCGCAAACATTTTCTTAAATAATATATTCTAAACCATTTGCAAAGAAATAAAGAACTGAAGGTAAGGTGACTTGGTGAATTGCTAAAAAATTTATAGGGGGAGGGGGCTATAACATTAATTTGACAAAATATTCTCTTAAATTTGCTCGATTATCTAATATGATCAAATTAATCTCCCCCAAAATCCTACCTTCGGTCTCAACGTGGTGGGGGAGTGACAACGTCTTCTGGCAATTAATGGAGGTTTAAAACGTTCCCTGTGGTATGAGTTTAGAATATGATCACCGTCTTCGGCGGGGTGCAAAAGTTATCTAAAGAGGTAGGGGTATATGTCAGGAATGGCATCCGATTGAAAAAAATCCCGCTCTAAATCCCTTATGATTAAAACTAAGGTACAGTCCAAACCCCATGGACCTTCTTATCTTGCTTAAGGTAAAATATAATCAGAAACCTGATAGAGAAACCAGTTATGATTCTGACAATGAGGTAATGAAAGTAAAGCCGGTATTGACGTATTTGTTGCAGAGAAATGGATGGATAAAGTAATAGAAGCCAAAAGGCTAAATAGCAGGATAATGATAATCAATATTTCTTTAATAGAAGGCTATGCAATATTATCTCGGGATATGCTCCTCAGGTATGTAGAAGTAACGAAGAGAAGGATACATGTGGGACAGTCTATGATTGTTTGTAATACAATGTTTAAGGAAAGCAGAGAAGGTGGTGAGTTACAAATCGGGTAGTCCTAAAAGTGCGATGGATTATTTGTTAGTGAGATGTGATAGATGCATAATAAAAAATGTAGAATTGATACAGAGGGAGAAATGTATTGATTAACACCGTCGAGATTTTATTTCAATATAATATATTATTTTTCGTAAAGTACTTTTATTTTTATCAGTAATTTAAAATTTCTGATGTTGTCATATTTCCTAATTTATTAAGATTTATTAAGGAGTACTATACAATGCTAAATATTAATCATTTAGGCAAGATCATATAAAAAATATGCCCTTTTGGCTATAGGAAACGCTTTAGTACACCCTCCAGTGAGGCTAATATTTCAAATTTCAAATCAGTCAAAGCATTTAAAGTGCGTTGGTAATGTCCAGGATGTCGAACCGCTAAGCATAATAGTTCAGTTCAAGTGAATATTGGTTTATTGTAGTTTAAAAATTCATAGGTTATTATCGGTTCCTTCCGGTTTTTATAAATTAATTATAATATATTTTAATTGACCCATAATAATGTAATTAAAATATTCTAAAAAACTAAATATGGATAACATATGAACATAATCATATATTAATTTGTACTATTTATAAATTGAATTATGATAAAATATTTTGTTTTCGCAGTTGGGTAAGGCACCCTGTTAACGTTCAGCATATACCAACACAATTTAAATAAGGTAGGGAGAAGTCATGGTTTAAATAAAAAATACTAAATTTCTAGTAACAGTTTTAAATAATGTTCAAAATTGATTATAATAGAAATAATATATATTTAAAAATATAAAAGTATTTAAATACTAAATAATATACTGTAATTAATATATCTAAAGACCATATCCCTATGCAATTCTTTGGGGTCCATCGAAAATTCCAAGTGATTAGCAGTAATTTTAAAGCTTCCGACACTATAAATTAAAGCTTGAAGTGCCCCGCTTATCCCCGATTGAATTAATTTATAACACCCGTTTTTATCAAGAGTCAAATCCCATAAGTATAACGTTTTTAGGATATTATTCCTTGATTTCATTTCGGACCATAAGGTTGATGATAATCTAATTTAGTGATAGTATAATTAATAAAAATAAGCTATCTAATCGGTCAGAATAACAAATCATTTAACATTCATAATAAATTATCAAAACTCCTTTAAATGCTTAGGTAATACTTAGTTGCTAAAAAGAAATATTAAGTTTGATTGTTGGGAGCTATTTCTTAATCTCATATAACACTTTCACTGCGGCGCACGACCGGCGCAGAATTTTTTTCTAATACTTTATACCTTTTTATTCTAATAATTGGTCAACATCACTGTTGTAATTTTTTTAATGTCAAACAGGATTTTGATGAATTCTTATTGTCTACATATTTTTAAATCATAATTATATTGACGTAATTATAGAATTCAGTCAATCAAAAATTTAAAATTCAAAAGTTACCATAATTACATATTTTTAAAATGGATGCATCTACATTTAATAAATCTATAAATAATTTTAATATATTAAAAGTAAATAATAAAAATAAAAAAACATATGTGTGGAAGTTTTTTGGTTTCTTACACTTAAAAATAGATAATAAAACAATTTCCATAAATGCTAACAAATTTTACTGTAATTATTGCTTAGAAAAGGCTATCGTAGACGATGATTCAAATAAGCCATTTTTAAATTATCTTTTTTTTTAAATATTATTTTCTCGTATTAAGCTAAATCTTTAATAAATTAAAATATATGTTTTGCAAAACATAATCTAGCTATAAAATTCATTTTCAATCAACATTAGCACAGGAAATTTGTTAAAACACTTGACTTTTAATAATAATATTAAAGAAGATACTTCATCAAAATCGCAAGATTTAAGAAAATATTTTATATCCAAACCAAAATTCCAAAATAGATTTAAAATCAGACATGATAGATCTTGATAGCACTGTCCATATCCGGATACCCGTTTTCAAATTGGCAATTCCAATGATAATAATAACAATAATTCTGTATATGAAAACCTTAAAATTAAATGTCCCAACACGTTGGCATAGTATATTAATTATGCTATAAACCATCTGGATTAAATAAGAATTTATTAATGTAAAGAATTGGAAAACACTTTTTCAAATTATCAAACTACGAATCTGATGTGGTAGAAGAACTATTGGCATTTCTTTCAAAATAAAGAAACTGTTGAATTTCTATCAGTACAAAACGGGACTATGTTAAACGCGTTACTTTTTAGAAGTGAAATTGAAAAACATTTAATAGTAAATATAGTTCTGTAATCATTTCATTTAAGGAAAATATGCTTTAAAAAAACTTGCGTTACAATTTCCGGTTTATAATCTGCAAGTAATAATATATAAGTATATTCATTTATTTAATTTATTTATTATTTAAAAAAATAACTAGATATTGGCTTCTCTCTTAGATCCAAGATTTCAAAAATTGACAATTGTGTCAAAGTATATAATAGAGCAAAATTTCTCAGCTTCAAAATTTATAATAAAACATTTTAAACTTGATAATGATGATTTTCAGGTAGTAAATATAGCTATTGAGGATCAAGAGGAATTATTGAATTCAAGTTATATGACAAAATTGGCAAATAAACATTCAACAAATACAAATTATGATTCCACGTTAGGTGACTTAGAACAAGAATGCCATATTCTTCTTGGAAAACGACATTCACAAGATATGGATGTTCTAAATTTTTGGGGAGAAAAGAAGAGCGAACTTCCCAATCTTTCCAGGCTCGCTAAAAAAATTCTTTGTATTCCGGCGACTAGCACACCCAATACTGGATTGACGTTGAATTCAAGGAGATCATCATTATGTCCCGAAAATTTAAATAAAATAATTTTTATACATGATAATTATAAAATTACGAAATCGATTTTGGATTTATAATGAGTTTTCTCTTAAATAAAGATTAAAAAATATGCAGAGATATCTGTAGAATAATGTATTTATATATATTTTTTTAATTATTAAGCAATTAAAAAAATTTATGTTATAAAAATTTATAACTGCGCCGATTTATGCCGCTTTTATTTTTGAAAATTGCGCCGGCCGCCGATAGTTTCGTCAGCTAAATATATTTTTATTTATTTTTCTAAAAATTAATTATAGAAAATATTTATGTTAATGTAAATTTCTAAAAATAATTGATAGATTTACAAAGTTGTATGGGAGCTGTAACAATTATCTTTGAAAAAAGATTGTGTGCCAGTTGATGTTAATGAAAGCGCAAGTTCTTGATTTTTGTCAGAGTTTGAGGGTTGATGACATAAATAATGATAAAAGGTCGAGTTAATTTTATCACCATTTAGAGCTAATGCTGATTTTGATTGGCTTATAGCAAACCCACTTTTCCATATCTGTTTTCCATAAATATTACTTTTAAAAATCAAAATTCCATAGAAATTTAAAATAATTTTAAATTTTAATTTTAAGGGAAAAAAGGGGCAGTTCAGGTTTGGAAGCTCTACCTAAACCTGGATTCGACTTCAGGTTCGAATTTGCATTAGAAAAAATTATCTTTTTAAAATAGTACTGACAACTGGCAAAATAATTAAATATAAATAAAAAATTTTACAAAGAATCTATCGCCTTTTTGTTTTAACATAACATAATTTAAAGGTATATAAAAACCAATTGCATTAAATTTTTAGTTTATCACAATATCTAGAGTATACTAAATCAAAATTTTTATATAGAAAAAGGTTTATAAATTATAAAAAGAACTTTACGTTTACTATAATAGACTAATTTTGTCATTTTTTAATCTTTGCAATGAATAATAAATCACAAATGGAATGTTTACTTTAATAGACTAATTGTCATTTTTCAATCTTTGCAATGAAAAATAAATCACAAATGGCAATATTAAAAAATGAAAGTATGTCCAACAATTAAAGTTCTATACAATTGGCCAAAAATTAAACAATATTATAAATCCTGAATTCTCACTTAAATGGAAAATTTTAGATAATTGTAGTTCCTTTTTGGGAATATAGTATTAGCGACTCCGGGTTTAGGTCAAGTTCACAAGTTTGAAATATGTTATTTAAAAAAATAGTTAAATGTGAATTTTAGATGATGAAAGTGTCTGCCTAATATTTATAAACTAACATAATTATTATAATTCAATATCTCATGCAAATCGATTCTATTTAGAAATTAGAGTTTTTAATAAAGCTTTCAAAATATTACGTTATTAAAAAGAACCAAATTATTATATATTACGTTATTCCATGACAATATATGTTCATTGATAATCTTTTCAGAATTTTCACTAAATGCAATTTTAACGTCCTTTAAAATAATAAATATTACAAAAGATATGTGAAATAAAAATGGAAATTTTTTTTTTCAGTTTTGTAAAAACGTCTTTTATGAAAATTGCCTTAGAGAATTTGAGATAAACTCAATTTTTATAGCGTCTAGTTATCTTATAGCAAATTAAGCATAAATTTATTTTGAAAGCTGATGTAACTATCAATTCTAACTTCGCGAAACTTCTAATAGTTGAAATTACCATTCATATAATGGATTTTGTGAATAAAAACAGTTTAAAACTTCTAGGATTGAATTGACTTCATTTTTTATTAACCTAATTTGTATAACTTCTGTATATTCTAAGCCGACAAGATAGTTCCTCGAAATATATGCAATACCAAAATAAACAAATATTTATAATATCGGGGAGTGGTTAAATTAAAAACACTACACTTTATGGATTATCACTTCTATCAAATATCAGAATTCATCAATAATTTTTTTCCCGTCATATTAATTTTTTTGGAGGGCCCATTCAGAATAAATTTGTTTTATACGTCACACGGCCCGGGCAATAAAAAATATAAACTCTAAACATATATAAATATTCCTGTTTTCATTATAAGAATTAAAAAAAGTGAGCTAACCTCTATTCATATATAGCATTATGTGTTTTGCTTACATTCTTGATTAATTCATCTAACTGTAAATTTATTGAATTATTATCATCTTTATTGGAAGCGTTTAGTTTTAACGAATATCGCATAAAAATGTAAATATAAGCTTCGGTTTTACTAAATATAAAAAAAAATTATAACAAATTAATTGCTGGTGAATATATATTTCATAAATATTAAATATATTATTACTCTGAAATTTTTTTTATAAGGTAAAAATACAGGGATCCAAACCGAAACGAATATCGGTTCGGTTCAGGTTCGGATAAAAATAACGGTTCAAGGTTCAGGTTCGGTTCGTAAAAAATAAAAATAACGGTTCGGTTCGAACCTCTATAAACCGGTTTGAACATTTTTGTATTCACGCCTACATTCGAATTATGTATAGGGAAAAATATTTTTTTTATCATTAAAATAAAAAAACACAAACATAAAACCTTCATTTTTATTAATTGCATAATATAAAATAATATTTAATTTATATATATAACAAATAGATATCAATGATTAATTTTATAATATGAACAATATTTATAACTTTATTTATTTAAAAAATTTTTATTAAGCCGTACTTATCACACTCAAATTACATCTATAAGGGGATAGTATAAATTTAATTGTAGAAAAACATCTTTCTACACTACTTGGGTAGCTGGCACTGCCAGTATGATATCAGACAATTTATATAATTCATGGTATCGATTACTCTGATTTCTCCAATAATCTAAAATATTCATATTTTTATTTAACCTAGGTTATCTAGAAAAATTAACTAAAATATTTTTAATATTCTCCGATTTTTGTAAGAGATTTTGTTGTTCACATCTTTTTTTAAAGAAGACTTTCTACTAAGTCCTCTTCAGATGAAGATCCATTAACCGGTGTTGATTCACTCCACTCTTATAACAAAGTTCGATTCCATGTTATGCCATATTTTAATAATATGTTCTCTAGCTTTGGTTTTTTCTTCTTCAGTCAAAAGCACTTGATATCTATATAATAAAAATTAAAAATATCATTAAAAAAATCTTATTATATTTATGTATAGATAGAAAAATATATAAAGTGAAATAAAATTATTAATTAAAATAAATAAAATTATTGATTAAATTTATATAAGATATAATATTTTTAAAACATACCTTAAATCTAGATATATGCATGACAAAAAGGCATTGTTGTTTAAAAGTTGCTTCTCTCTAAAATTCATAGTATCAATTATTGAACCAGCAAAGGGTGAAGTAAAAATGGAAATTTCTAATTTAGCTTTCAGCCATATGCCATAAAAATCCCCTAAAGTTAGCTGCTCAAGTTGTAAGTTCTTGGTAGCTACTTTCATTGATTTTAGTATATTTACCAACCCTATAATTGCTTCCCATTCCAGAGTTGTAAAACAAAGTTCACTATATGATACTGATAACTCCTCACAAATATCTTTTAATTCATTCAATCTCTCTAGCATGTCATAGGTTGATAACCATCTGTAACAATCCAATATAGGTCTTTTTAAGGTTAATTTTTTTAGTATGATAGATATCGATTTTGTCCTTAGCTTCTTGCAGGCAGTATGAGCTTTAATAATAATATTAGAAATGGAGCAATTTTTTAATGCATGAGCTACCACAAGTTGTAAGATATGAGAAGCACATCTTATATTTATAATATCATATTGAGAATCATTAAGATTGCTTGCTAATTCATCAGGTACATTTGTGAAACTAGTATAAATATCATAAATATCATAAATATCTATATTTTGTATTTGTTCTTCCTCATCATTTTCAGACAATTGATTGTCATCATCACTATCCTCCATAAATAATTTTACCATCTTAATTTGATTTGCCCCACGTTGTTCTGTACAGTTGTAGTGGGCCGTTCAAAAATTTCTTTCAATGCCAGTGTTCTAAGAACAATTTTTGCTTTTTGAATGTACTGAAGATTAATCCCAATAATGGACCTGTTTAGACGAGTAACACAGTCAATTTTTAGAGATAACAATTTACCATTTATTTCTTTGATTATATTTTACAGAATATCTAAGGCTAATTCTGCAACATTCGATTGAATATTTTGGGAATTAATTTTAATATTACCTAAACCTTCTAATATAGGATCCAGAATTTTTTTTAAAGCCACTATCATCGATTAATGTGAATGGTCTACCATTAAAAGTTACCAGCTCAGTACAAGCATCAATTATTATTTTTTTATTTAGCTTCACTGATATAGTAGTTTGTTCTTTAAATACTTCTTCTATTGTCTGTTGGTTTGATGGCATCTTAAGCCTTTTTATTTTATTAGGAATTTGTTGTTGTGATATTTTAATTTTATTGATTTCTATAGGGTGGTTTCTTTTTATGTGACGCTACAAATTTGCGCCATGATTACCTTTCATATTTATTTGACAATCAGCAATATTACATTTTGATGTGTCATTAATAATATTATAAGTAAAATAATTTTATATGGGGTTTAATTTTGCTCTAGGCATAATAATTTATAAGCTTAAAAAATTTAAAAAATATTGTAAAATGGCAATATACTAAAGTTCATAAAAATTATGACTGACACTTATCAATCAAATGTGATTGATAAAAATCTTTAAAACAATTCGAATATAATTAAAATATTTTGCAATATACTAGTAATAACTTACACATTATTTTAGCAGCATAAAATCACGAGGTTCGAACCGGTTCAGAGGCATTTTAGCGGTTCGATTCAGGTTCGGTTTGGATCCCTGAAAAATACTAAAGGTTAATTGATAGCAACATATTATGCAAAATAATGTATTATCATCAAAACAACTTCAACATGCTTTGTAATATTTGAGTTTGCCTGGACAAAAATGGTTCTAATTTCTAAATATTTTACTATAAAAGTAATTCGGGTTGTGGTTTCATAATTTTTTTAAAGCAATTCTGGTTTTGGTTCTTAGTTGATCCTGTTCCAGGGGTGGCCAGGTCCTAAACTTTGTTAACAACTAAATAAACTTCTAAAATAAAATATATCTTTTTTGAAAAATATACATAAAAATTTGATACACTTTTGTTAAAATCGTTTTTGGATACTATAAATTTTAAAGGGGCTAAGTTCCTATTAATTTTAGGAGAGTTGTTCTGGTTCAAATTATATATTTTCGATTTGATTATTTAGTTTAACCAATGATATTATTACCTTCTAGCAGCAACTTTAATCGTTTTGGGTTTAAGAATTAAGATATTGGCGTGAAGAAAAAGGTCTGAAGGAGCAAAAAATCGAAAAAATGGAGAATTTCGTTTGTAACCAAATTCATGGCTAATTTTGGTGCTTATCGTTTTTCCATAAAATATTTCGAACAAATCTGGATCAAATATCGATTGAGTTTTTGGAATCAGGCTGTGAAACATAAATGTACAATTTTATAATTAAACTAAGATAACTTTTGATCTTGAAAATCAATTTTTGTTTGTTGAAATATACTCTCAACTTTTTTGGATTCTACATCGAACTCCAGTGATAAATCCTATTTATTAAATAAAACTAAAGAATTTATTTATATTATACTGAAGGGTTATTGATGGTAAATTTTTGTATCAATAATGAAGGAATATTTCTATGAACTATAAAAGTTTTTTCAAAAAAGACACATTCTGAATTCTTAAAATAAAAGATAAAGTTGGTTATATAATAGTTGAACTTACGTATTTTATACATTTTAAATTTCGGACAATTCCATCTAAAAATGAGGTTACATATGCCTCTAAAAACATTTTAATAAGCATATACATACTGAATAATTTAGTATTTAAATAGTTTGAGAATATTGAAATATTTGCAGGCTCCTAGCCAAGATGGGGTGGGGAGGGGGGCTTGGTGAAAATTTTTTTATTTCGACTATAATGTAGTGATCTGCATCGGGCCTAATTTTTCAAGCCCGGCCCGGCCCGAAATTTTTTTTTAAATAGTTATGCCGGCCCAGACCGAACCCGAAATTTTTTTTAAAAAGTCCCGGCCCGAACCCAAAAATCTTTTAAGATAATTAACCGGCCCGGCCCGAATTTATTTAAATATAGAAATTAATTTTTATAATTACTCAAAATAAAAGATATATGTTATATGGCGTTTAGTTTCAATAAATAAAATCAAAATTTTTTATTTTACATAAAAAATTCAATATAAAATTGAAAAATTTAGATATATTTTAAAAAATTTCCAAAATCCGACCCGATCCGGCCCAATTTTTTTAAAAAATATTAGGACTGGAAATATTTTAAATATAATTAGGGACTCAGGCCGGGCCTAACTTTGCAGATTTCTACTATAATGTGCTAAAATCAACGGAAACCCTGATTCGTTTAATTTATGAAAAGGGTATATCAATTTTGAAAATTAATAATTTTTATGAATAATTTATTAATATTGATATTGGGTAAATACTTAAGATTATAATAAAAAAAATTAAAATATATACATTATATACAATAAATCAACTAAAAAATAGAATGGGGGGGGGGGGGGTCAGATTTATATAAAATATGTTATATTGATAAACCTATAATTAGTAAGATGAATCTAAGAACTGTCATCCATCCAAATAAAACTAAATATTAATTAAATTTTAAAATAATATAGTTGTAAGTAGAGGTCGGCGCAGCCCGACCAGTAGAAATAGATTTTGGGGCTAGGTCTAGCAACATGTACAAAATATATTTCACGGGCTGGGTAAAAATAATTAGAAGCCGGTTCAAAAAACCCGATAAAAAATTTTCAAGGGTCGGTTCTGCTGACATCTAATAGTTAGAATATTCTCTTTTAAATGATATATATGAATAAAAGATTTATGACAAAAATCGGTAAGAATATTTTTATAGGTAGATTTTAGATCAGGGCATATTCTAAAAAAATGTAATAGATGTTTGAACATCCAAAGAGTCATCTATGGCGCAATTTGTTTTAATCTGCATCATTTTAACGATTAAAACGAAGAGATATTTAGGATTATAGTCAAAATCAAGGAATTTGCCGTTACTTGAATTCCTATTCTACTATTTATAATCACATGACCTGTCAGATTGACAAATTGTTGATAAAAGTGATTAAATTATATTTTTATTATATTTAACCTTAACCCATATTTCTCAAACCTCTAATTAACCCTAGACCATATCTCTCTAATCCTTTATCCTACCTCTGATACTTGTTTAATTTTAAATATGTTTTATCCAATTATAAAATTTCATTCATTAACATTCCTTTAGTTGAGCTATTATCCAAATTTTGCTTTTTATTATTAATTTATGGCGGTAAGCGGAAAATAATTCCACGGAATTGATTTTCTCAAAATTTTTAAATATTTTATTTGAGGATTTTTATTTCGTGGATATATTTATAGGGAATTTCTTCTCCGATTTTATTTATTTTGTAATTTTTAATATCTTAAAAAAAGGGGATTTTTTTAGGGGATTTATTTTCCTAGATTCCTTTATGGCAAATAATTATTTACTGGGAACAGTGAAAATTCCGGGATTGGGCGGCGGCACGAACGATGAATCAAAGAAAAATAATAATTTTAAAATTGATTTTTTTAAAACATAAATTTTCAATTTCATAATTATATAGATGTTATTTTCAAAAACGAGCCTTAACGTTTCAAATTTTATCAACGCTATATTTTTATTTTAAAACAATTAATTTTTTAAAACATTGCAATATGTGTCAATCCTATTTTCCTCGATGGCAAGGTATAAGTCAATGTTCGGTTTTTTTTTAAATGGAGTTCGGTTCAGGCGTCCGAGCCCTGATATGCTTAACGAATTCGGATAATTTTTTGGGAAAAGATGACGAGCCGGCATTATGCTTTTTTTAAAGTAAGTCATAAAAAAAGAACACACACTAAATAAAAGCATCAAAAATAATATGAAAATTGGGCTTTATTCAAATGAATTAATGGAGAATCTATAAAAAAAATTATTTCAATAAATAAAATTTATTAAACAATGTTTATGTTTATTTTAAAAATATTCCGCAAGTTATAAACCCTCAAAAACTAAAAATAAGCTTTTTTTGCGTGAAAAAAAAACGATGCCCTAAGTGAATAAGTATTCGACTCATTTAAACAAATCAAATAATTTAAAAATTTATTATTTGTTTCCATTCAAATTATTTGAATAATTCGTATTTTTAATTATATGTATTATCCTCAAAAAACGTCAATCAAATTTATCTATTAATGCTTTTCGAATCAATTTTACATCTCCTATCCTATGATTTTCAGAGATATTTTCATATAATATATATTCATCTACTTTTATGATTATCATCCTTTATTATAATATAATAATTTATATAATATTTGTTCATTTGGTATTGCATTTATTTATGATAATATTTGTAAATTTACATTATATTCAAATCTGTCTAATTTGGGCACCGTTGGAATCAAGATTCTTGCCTAACTAAGACAGTTGTCCAATTTATCACGATTTTTTATTTTTGTATAAAAAAACATTTCCCCATCTGTTATATCCTTAGTTTAAAAAAGTGAAATTATCTTTGACCATTTTCAATAATTTATTTTTTATTAATTCATCAAAATAATGAAAAATTATGTATATATGTTAACGTCAATGTTTTTTTCCATCAAGGTGTTATTTTTTCAACTATAAATCATTTTTTGAGCGCGTTTTTTTAAATTTAAAAATCCGGAAATACATTCCATGTTGTTTAATACTTATCTTATGAATAGACAATTTTGCTATTAAACTTTGAGTCATTTATAATTTATATAAAAAATTAATGGAAATTCTAATATAAATTTTCTTAAGTTTAAAAGTTCGTGGCAAAATTGTCTGAAATTTTTAGAGTAGGTATTCTAAACACAATGAAATAAATTTCCGATAAAATGAGATATATAAATTTTAAAAAAAAACGCGATCAAAAAATAATATAAAGTTGGAAAAATAACACATTGACGCAAAATAAATATACAAAAACATGTACAAAATAAATATGTATTTACATGCAAAATTACAATGAAAGGGGGGATATTATTTACCAGATGTTGATGAAACCTAATAAAATGATCTTATTATAATTTTATTCATTTAAACATACAAATACTGTACAATTTTTTTTAAATGCCACACTTGAAGTTTGTAATTAAAAAAATATTCTTTAAAAAACCATATTTATAAATTTAATAATTTTACATAAAAAAAACAATTTAGAAATTAATAATTTTACATATCATTTATTAATTTAATATTTTTACATATCGTCTAATTTTCTTTTTTTTATATAATATATTTTAAAATATTTAGTATAGATTATATACGTTAATATAACTCAAATAGCTCTCCTTTATTCCCAATTATTTCATGCCCATCTCAGATGTGAATGAGATGCTAAATTAACAATCATATTCAACTTTTCCCCAATCAATTTCGGTTATCATAGATAAAGATATAAATTTTAAGCATCCTCGATTATTCATAGACCTAAAAGAACATATTATTGTTAAAATAAAGAAAAAATTGACATGGTAATGAAAACGTTAACTATGCCAGAGGAGTAACAAATGAAGATTAAAGGAAATCGCTAAAATTGTTAACATGTCAAGGGTCTCTCACAAAATAAAAGGGGATACATTCCCAGAAATTATAGGCTAGCCATTAAAAGAATTGATCCACCATTATACAAGGAGGGAGAAAAATAAAAAATACTTATGGAAGGACAAATTAAAAACCTATTAATGGCTAGCAATATCTTTAAGGTTAAAGAGATTATTAAGAATCCTTCCGGTTGGCCAAAAAATATAAGAACCATAAGAAAATACTTTAAAAATCTTAGATGGTCTAAAACAAGATGGCAAAAAACCGAATAGTAGCAATACACTAGGCACTATCAATATATGCATAAAACTACTAAAGATCCTCAGAGAAAATTTCATTTATGTGGTACTCTTATATGCCTGGGCACATCCAATGTGAGGCCAACAATAGAGGTTCCACTCTCAAAAGGAAAAAACGTAAGTGTACTTTGCGTTTGCACCAAAGGAATTGGCAGAGTTATATATTATAAAATCATTGGAGGATCATATAATGGCATATTATTCCGAGATTCATGATCAGTGACGTATCCAGGATTTTCCTATATGGGGGGGGGGGCAATTCTTTTTTGGGGGGGGGGGGCTATGCCCCCAAACCTTCTTTGGCTGGCCTTCGGCCAGCTTTTCCTCCACCTTTGGCCGGGTCATATCTTTGAGCTATTTTTTTAAATTATTCATAATTCAATAATAATTATATTAATTTAGCTTTTATTTACTAATTCGCGCTTAGGAATATTTGAAGAAGAAATAAAGGTTATAACCCAATTTTTATTTTAAGTTAGGTATATTATAAAAATATAAAATTGAAATAAAGTTTAGTGTCAATTTTTTTTTATAAAATTGGCTTAAAAACTAGTCTCAACTTAAATTCTCATATAATATAAATAGAATAAAAAAAAATTTATTGAAAATACTTTGTAGTGTGTATAAAATATTGACTATAAAATTTTTTAAAGAACAAGTTTTTATAACTAATTATCAAATACAATATTATACAAAAAATTTATTAAATACTAGAATAATAATGCGATTTTTAATTATCGTGGAAAATTTGCCAATTCATCAAGAATTTCGTTTGTCGTTGGAATCAAATCTCTGTAGATATTTAACAGAGCTATCCATTTAGCCGAGATTCGGAAGTAGTATTTTGTAAA